AGAGAACGCGCTCCGTGGTGGTTAAACTTTACCCGTCTCGATGCTCGTTGCCTAAAGTGCAATAACAGTTTAGCATGTAAGGGCGGTAACACGAGCAATTTGTCTAAACATTTATCAAAAGTGCTCCACATTCAGACGGAGGAATGCACCAGGTTCCACTGTCTTTCTAGTAGCTCTGTAGCCCCGTCCACGAGTAACGTTTCCACGTCAGGTGTTATGTATGCTAGCAGCAACACACAGAGTTAACTCAGTTATACAAACATGGGTTAATGATTAGAGGTAACTGAGTTATTTAGTTTGTTAAAGTTTCAGCTATTCTGTTTACAGTTCTGTCATCACATTATTTAATATGATTTGTTAAAACATTGTTGTTTCTTTTGATGTGAAATATTATTTATTTAATTTAAATAAAAAGCAATGTTAGTTTTGTTCACAATTTGTTTAGTTAGTTTACCTTGTTTTTTTCTCCAAAATAACCGATAAAAGTACCGTTAAAAGACCGGACCGATAAGCGGTATCGATAAAAGTAGTAGTACCGTTAAAACCTTAACGATACCCATCCCCTAGGTGTGTGTGTGTGTGTGTGTGTGCCCAGGCTGAGTTCCGCGGTGTCTCGCAGACGGCCACTGGGCTCATAGGGAGGGGGGGGGGGGGGCAGGAGCTCCAACAAGCCGTTTAGGACTGAGTGAATACACATACTTTACAGAGATGCTGTATGAGAAACCAATGTGAGTTTGTAAAATTGCACAGTATAAATCTATTCTAGTAGAACTCAACAATGGAATTATGATCAGTAGAAATGGCCATGGCATGGGCCCTTTAAGTGACTTTATTTAGTTGAAATGTATTATTTGAGGACATCTTGCATTTGAGTTTTATGCCTAAAAAAAATACATTTTGAGCTGCTGTCTAAACATAGAAACTTCAGGCTACTATCATTAGGGGAACACTGATCATTTAGGAAATGTTCTGTTTGATGTTTTTTTAGAGTCAGATACGAATATATCGTTAACTCTTAAAACTAAAAAGTGAAAAAAACCTTTGCACAGCACTGCTCCCATATGCATCATTTTATACAAAAAGATTAACATGACGCCTGTAAACTCCCACAGGCTCCACCTGCTGTTGAAAACGAAAACCTCGACCCAGACGTCTCCCCCGCCCCCCCGGCACCCTCTGCTTCTAAGGTTCCCTCTTATGAAACTGACCACTCTGTTCCTGGACTCTCCCACTGCAGGGGCGCTCAGGCTCCGAGGCGGGGGCCGAGGAGAGGAGGCCGGTTCCGACCGCAACATCACCGGAGAGCGGCCCCCGTCACGGAGCACCTGCACAAACTGTCTCTGTCCTGCCACGAGGGGCCGATTAAAGCTCAGGGTAACCAACAAATGCAAGAGAATGCAGAATTCTGTCAGTCTAAGACAGGCAGGGTGGTCCCGGCAGAGACCCCGATGTCTGGGGAGGGTCCCCCACTGTACCAGGCAGCCTTGGACACTGAATGCCCAAAAGAAGTTGCAGGCGGGCGGGGTCACCGTGGAAGGAGAAGGGCTCCTCACTGGGGGGACTCGGACCCAACCACCGGGCGCTACCAGTGGGACGGGCGGGCTTCAAGAAGCAGGGGAGGGCCCAACAACCTGTACGACAGAGGTGGGGGGCCCCGCCGGGGTCACGTCAGGGGCTTCCAGCACAATGTGGTGGAGAGAGAGAGGGCGTGGGAGGAGGTTCTATGACAAAGGGCAACAGGAGGGCCAGTGAACAAATGTGCGTGTGCCTCCATTTTCAGTCTGCGTAAATTAAAGCCCTGCACCAGAAACGACTTTCAGCTTAGTTTCCTTTCCTCCCGTACATTGCCGTTAACCCGCTCTATGGTTTGTACTGACATGCACACTAATATCAGATACAGATTGTTGTTGCTTTTCGTTGTGGTGCTATATGACTTGAAAAAACTGCAGATTAAATGTTCTGTGTGTCACATTGCATCGGTGTTCCCTGTCCTTTTTTTTATGAAGGGTTAGTTCAGTTACACAGACATTTGCAGCTTAATATATTGTTTGATTGACAATAATATTGCAAATTCAGGTAAGTGTATTGTTGCAGGAAATATGATCCTATGGTACATACAGTGCCTGGTTTATACCTCAAGTTACTGTTGTTTCTGGAGGTGAACATTCAAATGCATGTTAAATAAAATAAAACCAACCAACACTAAGTAAAATGGCTAAATTAGCTCCACCTGGGTCTTCTGCTAAATAAAATGTGGAGTTGTCAGATATAATAACCAAGCATTGTTAGTTAGTTACAAAGTACATTTTCCAGTAGGGCCTGGCTCATTTCGTGGCATCTGCAGGCAGTGGCAAGTACTTCCGGCATCTGCCACAGAGGCCACTACTCTGTGGCAAGTACTTCCGGCATATGCCACCGATGCCACAACTTGCCGAGGCATCTGCCGCAGCTGAACGGGAGTTGCCACAAGATGCCAGAGTAAGAGAAGGTTTACTGTAGCTGCCACTCGCCTTCCGTGGCAAATGCTGCTATTTAAACCCGTATTTATCGTGTAATGTCGCTGTTTAGGCATGACTTTATCGAACTGATCTGTACACAGGACTGATGTGCGATCTCTATTTCTCAAAAAGATTATACATTATCATTTCTATTCAATTTTACTTGGAGCATGGTTTGCTAAAATAAACAAACGTGCTATATTTATGCGCTTGCTGTCTCTCACATTTGATGAAAACACTGCAGTACTGTCACCTGAGTACATTTTTAAATGCAGAAATAAAATGTGTTTTATACACGGATTAGGCTAGAAATACCTCCATGAAGAATGGGCTTCTTGTTTTAAAGGGACTGTTTTCCCGAAAAAAACAAAGTGACAAAAATACAAACATGAGGATTTCATAGAATACAAGATGAATTTCTGCAGATTAAACTGCCCAACAGTATATAAAACAGTTAAAAAACTTACAACTTTGCAATGCATGTTGTAATATTAATCGAGAAACACAAAAAATATCATTAATGCACATTTTGCTGCATAACTAATACTTTAACTTTTAAGTACATATCACTGGGCAATAGGCTAAATACTTTCCCGTAATTTAACTTATTACATACATGTAGTTACTGTTAAATACTGAATGGAATACTTTCACTTGTACTGGTGTATTTTAACACTGTGAGATTAGTGTTTTCACTTCATGGGCGTAGGAAGCATCCTGAATGTGGGGGGGACATTTTTAAAGGGGGGTGTGGGGTTCCCCCCCACCACGAAAAAAAAATAGATTTCCTGTATTCTGGCACCTTTTATCAGGTGGTTTGATACTTTTATGTGGCTATACTAGTATGAGGAAAATGATGGGTACATTTTGTAATTTCATCCAGTAGTAAAGAAAGGAAACATATTTGATTATTAATTCAGAGCCGTCTTTGAATTAATACAAAGCAGTTTAAATGCCCATTTTTTGTACATTTATATACAACAATAAATATTTATGAGTGCATTGAGAGATATTGTTGTGGAGAGTCATTTATATATAAATCGCAAAATACATTTGTGAATCCTTCTGTGAGCATTTATTAATATTGAGACTGATCTGACTCCATACAGATGTTAAGTTCACCTAGGAATGGTATCATTGACTTAAATGTTCAAATAAATGTTGTTCTTCCGTCTATATTGGTCATATGATGCCCCTTGACTGAAACGCTTCCTGTTCAATATCCCCACTGATTTCCTTAACATTCTGGGATGAGAGTCCACATCACAATTGACTCTAAACTGTCATTTCCCTTTCATCACTCACCTGAGCAATGAACCTCTCTCCACTGTCCCTGTGTTCTGCCTCTGACTCACTCTCAAGCGCCTAGATGTCAAGAGAGGTGGTGAAGTGATCATTATTTATTGAGCAGTATACTCTTTCACATTGAATCATAACAAGTCATACTGAATGTAAATACAACTGACTCTAAAGTAAGTCCCAGTCTGTGACATTGGACATTTTGAAGACTCAAAGTCCCAAGCAGTAGGTAGAATATTAGCTAGTCTATGTAATGTGCACAGAAAATAAACAGTTAACTGAATACTGGGATGGAAATTGCATATAAGCACTCAGTAAAACATAAACACACACAAAAAGCTTCTGAATGATAAGAAGTATAATTAAAACATAATGAACATTACCATTTTGAGAGAGAGTACCGAAGTTAAAGAACTCAGAAAATAAGCTCTTATCGAACTGAGGCTCCAGTAAAACACACTGACTGCGCCTCTACAGTACATCATGGTGTTTACATGAGCACAGAGAGATCGGTTATTCATGTTCCCTGTTTACATGATAAATACTAGTAACCTGGCATTTCGATGCCTTTTCTCATCTAAACTATTCAGTATTTGTATCTCTCTATCATGACATAAAGACGAAACTCTTCTCCAGAAGTGAGACGCTTTTTCCGCCGCCGCCATCACTGTTAACTGATTAACTGCTGCCAGCTGAAGACTTACTTTCCTCTTCTTTGAAATGTTCTTATGTCCATGTTGTCTGGGGGATAAAACATATGAAACCAAGAGATCGTCAGCTTTGATTTTCGCTGTATTAACCATTTCCTGAACACTTGGTGTGTGTGCCTTACCTCCGCTACCGGCATCGCTTCATACAACAGATCTGAGCTGTCCACTACAAAAAAAGGCGTCGAGGTTTTCGTTTTCAACAAAAATGTCTATCAGTGACAACAAGTGATATGGGAATTGTTAACAAACATAACTGGTTTATTGTTTAATTTCATTCTTTTTTTTTTTTTTTTTTGCCCTCATAAGACATAAAAACAATACAATAAAAGATTCAAGATGACACATGCACAAAATTTGTCACGGTAAGAATACTTACGTCACGGGGAAGTTGTCAATGAGTAGTATGCACCACCATCTCCTTAAATGCTCCATGTCCAATTGTGCAAAAAAAGATGCATATTAAAATGAAAAGGGAACACCACAAGGACTGATCAAAAGTGTATCTCTGTGGCCTACCTCACTGAAATCAAAAGCTGACTCCATCACAAAGTAGAGGGCATACTGTTCAAGAGTAAAAAAAAACATTACACACTAATTGCAAAACTGTAAAGAAAAGATTGATAAATTCATCAGATGAGCCATACCATGAGCACAAACACCCCACAGTTGTTGGAGGCCCGTTGTCTTGGTATGCCCTATTTCATGAAGAAGGTGAGATTTATATACATTATATATACACACACACCACACACACACACACACACACACACACACACACACACACACACACACACACACACACACACACACACACACACACACACACACACACACACACACAGTGTAGGAATCCAGGAATCAAACTCAATTAGTGTGCATCATAATTACTAACTTGAATGTCGTTTGCACAGAATTCTCTCCAGGGTCCAGGTGACACAAGCAGAGCAACTTGTCTAATGGGGGATAACACACAGCTGTTTAGACAAGGACATTCAAGAAAATTGAAAACTGGAACATATAACTGGTTGAATATTGTCAAACTGGTGGAACCACCAACTTTTGAACACTGCAGAACTGCAGAACCACCAACAGTGGAATAATGGCGAACAGGTTGGCCAAGAGCTTGATTTTAAGGAAACAAACAGAAAAGAAAGCTTATAAATGGGTGGTAACAGAACATTCCCATTTTAAATGTCTTATGCTCAGTTTCAGTCCAATCTTTTGTTCAATAACATGTCAATTTATGCTTGAGGTCATCTTTTAAATGTAAAACTGAACACAGAGCCATAGACAAAAATAATACAAATATAAGAACAGAACCTTAAAACTGAACATAATTTCTGTGCTTAAAAACCTCAATGTTTCCATTTGGCTTTCATCACGGAAGCCAGTGCCATTTAGGGAATCTAAAAAAAAGATCTCCCTTTCTTGTGGCTTCATTATCTACTAAATAGTTACCACAGCAAATAGAACACACAATTACAAAATTTGAGCTGAAATACTTATCTTAATTTTGAAATTACAGTAACAGTATAAGAAGATGTTACACTTTATTGATGAAATTAGTAATATTTTGTGTTTAGCTTGAAATACAGATCAGTAAATTCATATCACTGACACATATTGTCCAATGCCCTGGGCGCCACACAGGAACCAGAATCCTCCGGAAATCGTCTGCTTTATCCTTGTGAGAGATGGTAAAATGAATGGTTTACATTCAGTGATTCTCATATGATTCCAGAATATATAATAATGATAATACGCATAAGTACCGGGAGATGCTGTTCAGGATTCTGCAACATAGGTATAAACCAAGTGTGAACGACATAGCTGTTTGCCGAGAACCCTTTGATGCCCTCCCTGTAAGACAGTTGTTATTTCAGTCCAGAAAAGATTAATAAACAGAAGGGGATACATTTATATTGGAAAAGGTATGCAACTTCACTACCAGCTCCGGGCGCATTACCGCCATCTACTGATGTGTAATGTGGACT